TTAGTTTATAATATCAATTCTTTATAGAATATAACAATTCCCTTAAAAATACTTTTCTAATTATATTAATTATTTATTTAATTTATATTAATAAAGATTTTTATAATATTTGCTAATAAATTATATTCTTTTGTAATTTGATATTATATTTCCTTAGGTCTATATTTGAGTTTCTAAGTAATTATAATTCTCAGGTATTGTATTAAATTCTTTATTTTTAATCTATAGTATTTCGCTAGTTTTGTTATATATTGTGATAGTCGATTTAGTACAAAGGAGATATCTGGTTTTATATATATTATTAGATGAATAAGACTATTTATAGCTTATTAATATTCAATAATATCAATTAATTTATTATCTTTTGTAATTGATTATAGATATAAATAATCAACAACAAATATCTTTTTAATATAATATTAAATATATAAAATTCCGAATTTTATAAATGTAACTTCCAGATATTTTTTCTAATCTAATATAAATGATTTGTTTATTTAATTTTTTATAACCCTAATACTTAGAATCTTATTAATCTTCTTTAGATTCTTAATATTAAAATATAAGAAAAATATTATAGAAAATTAATTAAATTGATTTTTTGAGATTAAAAAAGCAATTATATTATTAATATAAATTAATAAATTGAATTGTCAAGTAATATAAATATATAAATATAGATTAATAAAACTTTGAATAAAGTCTTAATTAATCAATTCAAACTTTAAAAGTTGATTTTAATCTCGTTCAATTTGTTTAAAATTATATAAATTTTGTAGTATATATAAGATATATCTGTCTAATATATTGATTCTTTAAAATAATATAAGATATATTTCCTTTTTGAAATAAAATTTTATAGAAGTATTCTTTATATTGAAATATTAGTATTTTAAGTTTTTTTTTATAATAATTATTAAGAATAAATAAATTATATTAAATTATACTATAAAAACAAAGATTTTATTATAATCTTTTCTTAAAATTTAATTAAAACTTCTTATTATTAATTATATTTTAAATCTTTTAATTTTATTATTCTTTATTTTTATTATAAATATTTATTTTGTTGAAATAAGATTCCTTTTTTTCAATAAAATATACTTTTCTCAAATATTATTTTTAATTAATAAACTAATTTTCTTTTAAATAATTTGCTTTTATTTTTTATTATATTTAGGATTCAAGATTACCTAATTATATATAATAGAAATAAGAATTCCTAGAATCTGTTCTATAGGGAAGACTATATTTTTGTTTGTAGAGCTTATTAAAATCATTTGAAAACTTTCGAATATCTTTATTTTAATATTCAGATTGATTTTTAATATAAAGGATATAAATATTATAATATATTCAATAGTATTTCTATTTGGATTTACTAAAAGTATTATTATTATTACTTTTATTAGTTTTTAGATATATTCATCTAATTTATTATTATTTCGCTTATATTTTCGAAAAGAATATCTTTCAAAAGTCTATATTCATAAATATAATTAAGGTTTTTATTAAAGATTTATTGATTTTAGATATTATATCTAATATCTTTATTTTTTTTGTTTTTAAAAATAGAATTGATTTTGTAAATAAATTGATTTCTATAATATTCCCTTTATTATCTTTATTGAACTTTTGAATATTATTAATTTTGGATATATTTAAAATTATAACTTTTGGGGATTTAGAAATATTAATATCTTATAAAGATTTAAATAAAAATTCTTATATTTCTTATATTTTATAAGATATATTTCTAGGTCTTCTATTAAAAATAATATTCTTTATATTTTAAAATTTTAATATAGAATTTCTTATTCTCGAATCTAAATCTTCCCCTTTTTTAGATTTGTTTATAATTATTTGACTTATTTATATAATATAATTTAGTTTTAGTAAATATATTTTGATATATCTATTAATTATATATAAATATTCTATAAAAATGCTTATTTAAATTATATTTTGTAATTTATTATATTATTAATCTTTTGAAATTATCTTTAAATTAATATATATATAGTATTTATTTTCTTATATTTTATAATAATTAATATTCAGAATTGATTTTATAAATATTTTGATTAAGTTAATAATATTATTATTAATAATTGATTTAGTATTTATTTTATTTCTACAATATATATTATATTTAATAGCTTTATTCTAGAATTCTAATAATAATTCAATCTTTTTTAATATAATTCTTATATTAATTTTAGTAATATTAATATTTCTCTTAATAGTTTTATTTTGATAAAATAATATTATAATAGTTAGTTCTAATTAGATCTCAAAATTCCATTTTTTAATAGTTTGGATTAATTCTAATATATTATTAATTCGGATAGCTATTATTTTGTTACCAATATTAAATTCTAATTCAGTTTTTTATTTTTTCAATTTTAATATAACTTTATGTTTTGTTTTCAAAATTAAAATCCAATTTATTATTATTTAGCTATTTATAATTAATAGGAAATAATAGTTTCCTTATAAGGATTTTAGAAATAAACCAATAATATCAAAATAAATAAACTTTAATCTTTTTATCTTATAGAAACTGAATTATTTTGGAATTAGATTTTTTATTTTGATAAATGTATATACTTTGTATATAAAATTTTTAAATAGGATTTTAATTAGCTTTTTTAAAATCATAATTTTTTAAAGATTTTATATTTTTTTTAAACTAAAATAATTGAATTATTTATACTATAATAAATAAATTTCTAGATTCTTTTTGATTTTATTTAAAAAGATATTTAAAATGATTTTATTTGATTTAATATTATTAATAATCTCTATATTTTATAGAACAATATCTTTATATTCTTTTGTAATATTTGAGATTATATAAATTCCTTTATTTATTTTTATTTTAATAATATTTATTTTATTTTTTCAAAAATATATATAATTTAAATTGAATCTATCCTTAAATCTAATTTTATAAATCTTTCTATTAGAAAAAAGATTAATTTCTAGTTTTAATATATATAATATTTTTGAAAATAAAATTATACTATTATTTTCTAATTCTATTGTAATAATAATATTGATATTTACTTAATATTTTATTTGCTATTTAAAGTATACAAATTTTTATATTTAAAAATATATTTTTATAAGCTAATCTTTTTATACCTTTAGCTAAAATTAATATAATTTCGAATATAGATATAAGGAAGCTTAATTAATAATAAGTTATTCAAGATTTAATTAATATTAATTGAGAAAGAGCTTTAATTGGGTTATAAAGAGTTTGAGAGATCTATTGATTGAGATTGAAGAAAGGGGGAATAAATATATAAATTCGAATATCTAATTTCGAAAATACAATTTCAGAATTAAATAGGATTAACTCTATTTTTAAAACCTTGATTTCATATTTTGAGAAATGATTGATTTTTTATATATAGTTTTAAAAGCTATAAAGAATTCAATCTTTAAAATATAATTAATATATACTTTAATAAATTTATTAATTTGATTACTATATAAACATTTTAGATTGTTAAAACAGTTTATATTAAGTAATTGAATTAAATGATTTGAATGCAATAATAGATTTAAGTATATAATATTGTTCTTTTTATAATATATTTGAAAAACTCTTGATTTATAGTTTTTATACTTATTTAATATCAATATTCGATATCTACTCTTTCTTTAGTTTTTAATATACTTATCAAAGTATTTTAATTATTCTAAATCTGTTTTATTGTTTATTTATTCATTAAATATAGATTTAATAACCCAATCTATAGGAAAATCGATTTTGATATATTAATTAGAAAAATGAATTTGTTTTTGAATTATCAAAAATAGGGGTATAGTTTTATTCTTTTTATTATTATATATGATTACTATAGCCTATTTTTTATTGCCTAATTATATTAACTTGCCTTTATTATTTTGTTTAATATTAATTACAATTATTCCAAAGTATATTATATTTATTATAAAGCTTGTTTTATTGAAATTATAAAAATCGCTATTTAAAATATTATATTTTGCTTATATATTCGTAATCAATTGAAATCATTTTTTAATAAATTTAAAATCTTTATATAGAGTTTTTTGAAAGTCATAAATATAATTAAAATATATCTTTAATTCGATTCAATACTTTATGAATTGATATATCTAAAGCTTTTCGATATATTTTGCATCCTTTAATTCGAGAATATAATTCACTATATCTTCTATATTTTTGAATTTAAATAGAAAACCTTTTGAATTTATATTAAAAATATATTAAATAATCATTTCCTCTTCTAATTCTATAATATTATAATAATTCGCCTGAATTTCTATATAAAGTAATAAATTATCTATTCTATATTAAAAAGTTATATAAAGGATATTATAAAACTTAAAAGTTTTTTGAATACTTAGTTTTTTATTTTTATAAAATAGTTTTGATAATAAAAAAGATTCAGGCTTTTTAATTAATTGATTCTATAATAATTGATTAATAAATTATGTGTAGAAGTTGAAGATATGAATTAAGAGAAAAGTGACTTATTCAATAATATAGTCTATTCGATGATAAATTACTTTAATATATTATATCAAGTATGTTCACGTATTTCGAGTTAATTAAACCATTAGAATAAATGAAAGTGGGTCGTTCTTTGAGTAAAGTTTTGGAGATTCTAATTTTGAATTTAGTGCATAATCTAATCTAGAAGTCATGGACTAATCATGTGATTTTTGTAGTAATATTTTCCAAATTGACTTCCAAAATAGCTTCAAAAAAGCCCTTTTCTACAATTTTAGGATTAGTTATATCTATAATAGTATTTGATCAATATTACATACTACAGTTGAATAACGAATATGCGAGATTATATATTGTTAAAACGCTCAACTCTAATTTATTGATACTCACTAGGGACAGCCGGTTACGCAACAACTTTTGATCGACATGTCGAAATGCCCGCCGGACGCGCGCAAGCACTCTTACAATGCCTGTGGAAAGAGCTTCTCGACTAACAGCCACCTGCGCCGACACGAGGCACTTCGTAGGTGACGCTCGATTGAACCCTCTCCCGACGTACTATCCCTACATTGGATGAGTTCCCTTTACTGACTGGGTCCGGCGTACAGACAGCGGCAGGAAATCGGCAGTTTGTCCCTTCTGCAATTTGCAGTTCTCCAGACTGTGAGAGATCGTGGTACTAGTTGTATCTATTTGAACCGCTGACCGACTTTGGATAGTGACACCGCTCGCCGGCATGTCAAGAGATGTTCCCCTGACGGCGTTGAATCCCCAGCCACAGAGCCCTCCCGAACAGAACCCTCCAGACGTGGCAAGCTACCCCAGGCTTGCGACGTCTGCGCACAACGTAAGCTATCATATAACACAAGTCTCCCGTGCATTCGTTGTGTCTCCTCCAATGTCGAGTGCACTTATCAGCGACGCATCTTCCCTGATCCCATACCGCTCAATGATCCACCTTTAGAAGACCCTAGCCCAGCTGGAAATGTGGAGGCAGGTTCAGATGCCACACGAGGAAAAATCCCTATTCAGTTTCTGCTGTCTTTTACCACACCGGCAGAGCATGAGGCGACCACAGCCATAATCTCTGCTAGTAGGGACCAGCTCATCGAACAAGCTGCAAGCACTCACCTGGTATCTTCAAGTACATCGGAATTTAATTTCAGGGCTTACGACGCTCTCTTCTGGGACCAAGAGGATTGGACGCCCGATTTCGTCCACTACTTGAATCAAGAATTCCACGATGATACACATCGAAACAGAAAATCTTCTACTCAAGGTCAAGCAAGTTCAGTTATAGAAATTCGGCTAGCGCACATGTGTCAACAGCTGGCTTCCACCCAGAGAATATTGCTCGCGGAAAATCCGGACTATCATGATGATTTTGAAGAGAGTCTTGTAGAAATCTTTACAACAACTAATTTTGAGACGTCCGTACAGGCGTATTTTCTCCAGCTACACCAGTTCTACCCCATTGTCCACCGCCCTACCTTTGACTGTGAGACGGCATGCCTACCTCTTCTGCTGGCGATCTTTCTTTTTAGATCCCTGTGTTCTGCCCCTTCGGACTCTACTCTATCAGCGCGCAAGGTGTTTGATGTTGCGGAGGAGTACATCTTCAACCATCCTACAATGCAACAACTGTACCACAGCAACAGCACTTGTGTGTCGCCTGAAGAGACAATTGGCGTGCTTCAAGCGGCGTTCATAATTGAAGTCGTCCAGAACGGAACCAACAATGTGGAAACAAGAAGACGCCTTAGAATCAAAAGGCATCCATGGTATATCGCTGCATTGAGAAGCTATGGGCTGTTCCAAGTCTCTGGTATACACAGCTCAGATGACTCGATTACCGGTCAATCGAAGTGACAGTCGTTCTATTCCCAGGAAATTCGCACACGGTATGGGCTCCAGTACCAATATGAAAGTACAGATTAACCAAACTGACACCAAGGCAAGACTCGCGATTTACTCATTTGTCATCGACAGCTGCTTTGCTATTATGTTTAACAGCTGCCCTCTCTTGACATTGGGGGAATTGAGTATAAACTTTCCTTGTCGCAATGATATCTTCAAAGCGGAGACAGCAGCTGAGTATGAGCACTTGACAATGTTTGATTCTCCTGAGTTACGTTGGAAGACACCGTCGCAATTGATCAAAGACCTACTTCAGGATACCTGGACCAATTCATCTCGCGGGCACGTCACGGCGATGCATTTGATGGTTACAATCTGCGGTAAGCGGTCATCGTCAGCATTTACAGAATCTAGGAGGTATTGACCATAAGCAGCACTACAGTCTTTGGTGATGACCTTGCGGTGTTCCTTGGTCTTGGAAGCAACAGGGGCTGCCATTCTTCGCGCAGCAGATAGGTGGGAAGATCTTTGGCGCACAGTGACCGAAGGAAGCAAAACACGGACCATGACAGGTCAGGGCTTCGTCGAGCACTCCGATGAGTTGTGTTGGCTCGTCAGAACATTAGTTCAGCAAGGACAAATGAAAGTACCAGATTGTCGCTACACACACATTTTGCCTACGGACAACATCAAGGACTTCCACGATTTCTTGTGCAGGCACAAGATCACATAAAATCATGGCAATGCATAAATGAAGATAGTTGACATCGCAAAAATCATGATATCTTCTAGGGTATGCTATGCCTGAACAGAAGAAAAAAGGGGATTTCGACTACTCAGGAACTGTGTCTGCCAAATATACATGAATTTCGCCTTTAAAAACGCTCTTGCAATGCGTATGCCACGTGCCAATCCAAATGCTCGAGGACGTCAGTAGGTGCAATCATATTCCCACAGGTTGGACACGAGTAACCTTCAGCAGTTGCATTAACGGCCGTCTCGGCACTGCGTGGTGCTAGTGCCTTTGTGAACATTGCTGGTTCTTGGTCGCGTACCGGAGGCTTGTGAGTCTGCTCAGCACTGTCCTGTCTTCCTGGAGTAGCTAGCATGAAACTGGTGATAAGTTGATTCCTCTGCTCCTCCTTCACCAATCCATGTAAACTTAACCCAATACTCGAACACGGCCAGGCAGGAGCCGCCTCATCTGCTATAATTTTCAGACACTTCATCGCGAAGTTGAAGATTGTCTCCTCGTTAATCCCCGTTTGAGACGGTATAATGCATTGTTTTGATGTTGTTGGTCCAAAGCGCCCTCGGATATGGTGATGTACAGCAAGCGTGGATGGGCGGTGAAAGTGCCCTGATTCGACTTTGAGGTCGTTCAGCCGCCCTACGAGGTCCGCTGCGAAGATTATCATCCAAGAAGACGCCTGGCCAATGTCTGTAAGAGGCGGTACGAAAGTCTTCTGCGTTAGCATTGACTGAGGGTCGGTTCGAGGAATCACTTCACTTCGATCTTCTCCGCGAATGGAACGAAAGAACCAGTGACCATCCTGCTTACCGAGCGCAGCGACTACTTCCTCCTGTGGGATTGCAAGCAGTTCAGGGATGCTGTTGGAGCCGAAGGCTTCTTTCGCCTTTACACCTAATACACCTGCCAGTCCACGGATCGAAGTCATCTTGTGGGTAGAGAGGAAGAATGGCATGGCACGGGCTCGGATCACCGTCTGCTGGTCTGGCTTTTTAAATCCGGCCCAAGCTTGGCCAATGCTTTGTTATGTGCAATACCTGCGGAGCAGGTGTAATGTAGAGACTCGAAGATCTCCTTGCGTAGGTTTCGTATGATTTGAGCACCAATGTTCAGCGCGATTTCGTCCCAATCAATACGATGGGTTTCGTCGGTGCTCGTTGGGAGGTCAACCAGGTTATCCGTCTCCCAGTGGAGAACGACGTCCCGTGGTGGAAGAGGAAGTGAGGCATGTACATTATCGTCGACGGCAAGTTGAGAGTATCTTGAAACAAGGACTGAATGTACGTGTGCAGATAGGTCGATAAAAACTTCATCCACGCTCGCCTTTTCTATGCGTTGAAGTGGCGCGGGTGGTAGGTGTTTCGTTATAGTGTTGATACTTTTCCGCGATTCGATCCGGTATGGATCAAGGGCAGCCTTGTCTTTCTTCATCATGGCTGGATCGGCTGCATCAGACCTATATGCCCAAGACGTCTCGCCTTCTCTCCAAGTGGCAACGTGCTACATGATGATGTTGGGACAAAGCCGCCTCACATCTTCCACAGAAGCACCGCGAGAAAAGCCGAAGCCGCGGGCAGCATAATTGAGTGCGATTATTGCATTCCACTGTTGAACTGCCAGCGGCTGTGAGGCGTCCAATCCCAACCGCACCATTTCGCACTGTGCGTAGAAAGCATCGAAATCGACGCGTGCGATCACGCGTAAGGGGGAATGCGGTGAGTAGTTGCCAAGGCGACGGAGATCTCGGTACGTGAATTGGGATCTGGGACTGTCCGTGGAAAGAGATCTCGAAGTTGCATGCAGCATGGCGAAAACAATGTGTGGATCTGGCAAGGTTGACAGGGTTAGCAGAGAGTTTGGGCGTCATATGACGGGTGACGGAGAGTGTCACTTACCTAGCCACCTTAGCTAGCCCTCTAATAAATGTTTCGATGTGTTCTGGGAGGCTGGCTTGTCCTGCCTGAGTGGTTCTAAGTTTTGTCAGTCGTGCAAGTATTGGAAGAACAAAAAGAGTAGCCAGCCAAGCTTGCGTGAAGTGGATGTTCCCATGTGAGCGACTAAAGGCGTCAAAATCGGACAACTGCAAAGGAGCCGAGGCGCCGTCAACTCAAAATGGACCAGTCTCTGCTCTGTGCCTGTTACGCCCGATCCGTCAGTGATGTCAAGTTCGACGGCGCTTGACGGCGTGGGTTTTGAGCTTTTGCCGGAATCCGGAGAAGGGGATTAAATGCCGCAATATGCACGACCAGGGGTCAACAAAAGGGTGAAGTATCAACGACGCTATCTCGGGAATGAACCCAACTACACTAGTTCGGTGTTGAACCCATACATCATAATACCTAGTACTTCGTAAATACCTTACCTATTATAGAACAAGTATCATCCAGCTGATAATATGTTCTATATGCTCACTGAACTATAACACCAACAAGTAATCAAATAATATCTTTAAGTTATCTCTAAGGTTTAATACGGATAAACCTCGCTCAACCTGTTACAAGTTGGAGAAAATAGAGAAATGTACGCATCATGGTTTTTGAAAATTGGCCCCTCTATGTCTCGGGTAGTCTCTATAAGTATAAGAAGAGGTCGTTTCTGACAGAGGAGACAATCGGTCATCGCATGCTATTCAGATACACAGTACTCCAACAGAATTTTCCAAACTTCAACTCTTCAATCAGACTCTCTATCCCGAAAGTACCGCAAAATGATGCCGCAAATCAACGTCGCACGAATCGTTGAATTCGGCAAGCCCTTGAAGGTCGGCAAAGCAGACAAGCCAGTGCCCGGATTGAAAGACGTACTTGTCAAGGTCAAGGCGTGTTGCCTCGTGCCAAACTCTCACAATCTTGTCAAAACTGGAGGCGGGGAAGGCTTCGCTCTTCCCCAGCTGCCGTGTGTCTTTGGGCTGGACGCTTCAGGCGTTGTAGAAGCGGTTGGCGACCACGTTCTCGGCCTCAAACCAGGAGATCGCGTTTATGTGGATCCATTGCTAACCTGTGGTACATGTCACTATTGCCGACAAGGTTTGTAATCCCGGTGCCGGTTCCCTTAATTTGTTGTTGATTCGTCAGAAAGGCACATCGGCTAATTTCATCGTGTGTATAGGAAGAAAGGACCTTTGCATCAACTCCTGCCTCCGGGCATACTTCGCTCAGTCTCCAGGTGGAGAGCAGATGCTCACCCACTACCCCCTCGGCGCCCTGTCTAAATATGTGATCTCGCCAGATACTAATCTTGCCTTGCTTCCCGCTAGCATCGATTTTGCCACGGCGTCGCGCTTCGGCTACATTGGTACTTCCTTCGGGGGCCTGAAGAAAGCAAACATTGGCCCGGGGAAAGTATTGCTCATCAATGGCGTCACGGGAACACTCGGATATGCTGCAGTTGCCATCGCTCTGGGATCTGGCTGCACAAAAATCCTGGGTATTGGACGCAACAAGGACCGTCTAAAAGAGCTTGAAGGATTGTCACCTAACGGCCGTGTCCGTACTATTTCATCAGAAGATGCTGATGAAATTACTGACTGGATTCGTAAACAGACAGGCGACCTCGGGCCAGATGCCCTTTACGATTGTCTGGGTAACGGCGGTGATGCAAATGTGACAAGCATTTTAGTCAACACTTTGAAGAAGGGCGGTCGAGCAGTGTTAGCAGCAGGAGGTGCGGAGGGGAAAATAACTCAGGGGTATTTGGAGGCTATTAGTCGAGACGTTGCGGTCCTTGGGACATTGTGGTTTACCAGCGCCGAGATCGACGAGCTCATTGCACTCATTGATGCTGGCTTCATCGACTTTTCTTTCCTCCGTCATGAGTTTCTCCCGTTGAGAAAGGTGAATGAGGCATTCAAGTTTGTGGGCGATCGTCCCGGAGGGGCTGTCAATGTGGTTGTCCAGCCTTCGAAGTAGAGAATGAGAGAGGGTAGTGGGGTTGGATGGATGAGAATCAGAGTTAGGATTAGATTTAGGTCTGGACATAGAACTCACATGAAAACTTTTTTTTAACTTTTCGGTGGGCCAGGGGTCAATTCTTCTAATTGGCAAGCGCGTACGTACTCTACAAGTGAGAAATCCACCACCTAGCAAAGCAATATTCTGACTCACAGTCGAGCTGGGAAAAAGATGTGCTGAGCGAAGATGTATCGCGTTTGCTGTAGTTCTGAAAGAAGCACATACCATAACAACTCGAGGTTCAAGCTCGTAAGCTCAACAGTACATACTAGTAGCACAGTTTTATCATTCTAAAGAATTGAAGACGTCCACCTCGTCCTTGTTTCGACGCGCAGAGATCCGATGTCAGCCAAGAGAATTAACGTTGGGGCTCGAACTTCAGAGTAGATTGGCCAAATGTCTGACTAATCCTTCTTATAGACGCTCACCCAGAATCGAGTGGTTGGTCACTCTACCTCTTCGATTTCCAGTGTTGTAATTAGTATTTTCCGTATTTCAAATACGCCCCACTTTAGTGATATATATCAATATTTCTGAAAATATTTCAATAATTATTATTGAAATCCATATCACTGAAATTATTGAATATTCTGATAATATTGAATATCACTGGCAATAAACTGAGATACGGGAATTCACATATTTCAATATAAATACTATATATTTTATACGAATATTGCATATTTTGAATGAATTTAAGCCTAATAAGGAAAGAGATTATTCGAATATGCAGATTCCCGTATTTCAGTATATTGCTAGTATAGTCTCTTTCGTATAATACGTAAGGACGTAGATATGATTGGCTATTATACGCACTAGCGTACGTATTATAATCTATATATCAGCCACAGTAATACTACCGTATACTAATTACAACACTGTCGATTTCTACACCTAGAGAGCAACTTGACAAGTCAACTGCAGAGTTTTTAAGGCATCAGGGAGCGGACCATACTCTCTGGTGTGGAGTTAGGAACTGTTTCGTATGAAAAGTAGTGCCAAGGGCGTTTGTTATCAAATGATACAAGCAGATAAATCATTCTTTATATAAATATGAAAGAAAGTGGGCATTGTCACGTTGACGGGCACGAATAACTAGCTGTGCAGCGTCAGGTCACTTTGATAAAGATGTGAACTGATATGGATCTTTATGGGGCGGGGGGGAGGGAAAGTTAGATTAAAAGTATGAAAAGTGACGCCACATACTCCTGTCTCCTCTCTATCCGAATGATTCCATCTAGTTGCAGACTGAAGGATAGTTCCGTGAAAATTATCTGTGTGGCTTTGAAAATGCATCCAATGCTCGTGCTGGGCGTCACAGATTCGACACTCTATAGACTCGTTGACTCTGTGTCTTCTAACATACTTTCTCATAAAGTGCCTCGTCAAATAGCCAGAACTTGTAAACAAAACGATCCTCTTCCGAATCATCAGGTTCGGGCTTCTAAGATACGTAAAGCATATATTTAACCTTTTGTTCGTTGTAACCAAAAATATTGTATATCTAAGTGTGATATCTATCTCGACCGTAGTGGTTTCTCGTTTTTGGCTGCCGAAACTAGTGAAACTAGCTGACCAGCGCTACTGCGATGGAAGGCCACCCCTTCCTCAACACTGCAGTATGCTATCACAGCATTGATGGCCGTAATCCTGCGTTGACATTCTTTTTCCAGCTATTTCTCGGGCAATGTCAAAACCGCGTCGGTTAGAAGCAGTTGTTCAGGCGTCATATGATTGGATCGCTCTAGTGCACCTCGGACGTCCTCGTCGACCACCTTGCCAGATAGCTGCCGCTTGCTGTCATTTACAAGCTGCTCTTTCTTGTATCATCAAGCAAATATTCAATTGAAGAAATAGAAGAGGACATTAAAGAGAGAAAAAACTAGAGAGTAGCTCAATGATTCAGAGTGAAGAGTGGATGAACATATTGCTCGTAGAACAAGACCGCATAAAAAAATTGAGTTTTGTGACCTGGTTCCCTATATGACCCGGTTCACCATAATTTAAGTTAGAGTAATCAGATTATACAATATCATGGTAAATATGAGGTGAGGGACGAAATAAAGGCTGTATAGTATACATATGGCAAATGTAGGGATCAAATAGATGAAACATAGATTGGCTCTTCTAAGATTATGAAAATGAGGCCCATAAATACTAGCTAGTTTCAACATGTAATTAGATCAGGCTACGTTTCTGATCAAACTGTGACTACGCCATGGCAGGATCAGACAGATATCGCAGACCAAAGCTGGTTTGGCTCAATATTTTCCCCATGCGGTCGGGCTGGCAAAACCCTTACCGAACCACCCTCCATAGCAAGTAAATTTTGAGGAAAACTTAGGGGAGTCAAGGTAAGTCCGGTGACGCGTTGAGGATCGGCAGGCGCGCGCGTGGCGTCACTTATCACAAATTTTAGCTTAGATCATATCAGATGGGCAATGAAAAGCCAGTATCACTTACATCTGAAATCTTGCAGCCCATTGTTGCCAGTTTTCACCATGATGCTTGAATACGAGCGTAGGATTATATTGGTCCTTGGTAGAATCCAGGACGTTTTCCGTGCCGTCTTGCCAAATTCGGTAGCTTCCTCGCTCAGATTGGTAGGCGAAAAACCAAACCGTGGGCGTCTCAGGAGTTATAATGACTCTTCCTTCAACCACACTTAAGTATAGAGCTGGTTGTTCCGCTGTGATGCGAGAAATCAAGTGATATTTGCCATCAATCAAAGGACAAATCTGACACGAAAGGTTAGCATGTTAGAACTATCTTGTATAGTCAATACATACACTAGCAACTGAGGCAGACATAATGGAGTGTTCTTAGTACTTATTACCAGTAGTACACAGGGAGTAGAAGGTTTGCTTTCTATCATGGAAAGCTTTCAAAGGTCTGAGATATGAAAAGAAGGAAACTGTGATTACTTTGGGAAATTCCAAACTATTTATGTCGGAATAGCCTCACTGGAGCATGCATGATCATTGTCTCAGCGTCTAGCTTTGGGTAGGGATATATGATCTGATATTTTCTAACAGAGCTATTTTGGTGTGATGAGCTACAAACTATATGAATTAGCTTCTGGTACTTGCCATTACATACAGCTCAGCTCACATAAACGCATCAATATTACTTTGTAGATTGTCCTAGGATAAAAACAAGTCAGATGTATAATTTACGCGATCAACTGGTCAAATGAGTAGTTTACATGTCATACTCACTAAGAATAGTAGCTTGTCTGTCGTCCAACTACCTACATCTGGCTAACTAAACAATTCACCAATAACATCAAGGTTACATGCAAACCGATATCAAAAGATAAATTCCTATTACAAGTCAGTCGTCTACAGATTTCGCTAGAGAAACTTCTGACTTGTCATGGAAAACCTCATCGAATGTTCTTTTATCATTTTGTACTTATACTAAATCATTTTTACAAAACTCTAACGATTTTATAAAAAATCTATTTCGATTGAATTCATGAACAGGTTACTTATCAAAATACTAAAGAATACCTTGTTCGGGTCAATTATCTAGAATCAATCTTAAGGAAGGATTTATTTTGTTTGTCCAATGTTTGGTCCCGCCAAACACATTAATTGACCTTATCCACAATACAACATCAACTATTTTAGCCCAAGTTTTCAAAAATCAATTTGAAGTATTCGATCAACAAATTACTTTTCTAATCAATTGTACAATTTTTGAGTCTATTGAATCTTTTGACAAAACTTTGTTCTGAATTTTATTACAAGTAACAACTCTTATTACTATACTACTCAGTTTTGTGGAAAGAATATTCTAACTATTATTGCTATGTAGACAGTACTTTTATTCTTTATCCATGGTGATTTATTACAACCGTTTTTTGGGAAAGATATCGCTCTTCCTTAGTAAAATGATAGTCCTTGTAGGGTCAGAATTAGGTCGCTGCATGTATATGCTGTTGAGTTAGCCAAAGTACTTGATGACATTCCCAAAGAATCATGGGAAACCTTACTCGCGAAGGTTTCTGATTTGAGGTTCGATAAGACTGCTATGACAGATGCTCGTAGCACTAACGAAGATATTTTTGACATCTCTGATGTTCCATAATTCATGGACTACAAAGACTATTGGTTATACAGATGGTCTTTGGGTGTTTTTGCGGTATGGTTTATGTCAATTCTACTCGGATCAAATTGGCTCTATATAAGGTCTTCCGGGGTTCCTTTGGCAATATAGCCAGCCCACTTCGCTAAATATTTTGATATCAAAACCATTATCTATATCAACTTTCCTTCTTCTGCTTTCGTTTTCCTTTCCGAATTAGATCGCCCCTTCTTTCCCTTGAAATTCTCTATATATAAAGATCGAATTTAAATGTTACCACTCAAAGAAAGGTCAATCTGCTCCAATGTTTCTTTTGGACTTCGAGATTACCGATTATAATATAGGAGATATCTCCAATATTGTCAGTACTTTGATGATATCACAAAAGGATATATTATTTACCAAATGCTTGCTGTCTTACTATCTCAGATTCGCAATGCTGTTTGCATTCTATACGAAAACTCAGAATATTTAGATATTTTTGATTTCCTGTTCCCTATCGAAAGGGTTTGGAACAATGTCTTTGCTTTTGCTGCTATTCCATCATCATCACCAACAAGAACTAACCCTTGGCCTCGATTTGCATAAACCGCTTCTAATAATTACTTGTGACTATATGGTGGTACCTACAACAACCCCTGCTGGGATACTACCCCACAATTCCTGCTGAACAGCTCACGACCTGATCTTGATGACTTTTGCATCAAATGCCAGCGCTCTGCTTTTAACCCCAATAATCGAATTACTGATGGAGGTGTCGACTTGGTCTTTAAGTCACCATCTCCGGATTTCCATCTTTCTGATCTTTCTCTCTCTAACCACCAAACTTAACAAAAACGCCAAACTTGATAGTCCCACACTCACTGCGTGACTCGCTCCCAAACTTTTCACATAGGCATCTATTACCTGGACCTTGATATCTCCCGGCAGGTCTTTCACGCTTCCTACATCTTCCATCACTTGCCTCACTATGGTTGCATCCAATTCTAACCCTGCAAGTGCTTCTCCCAAAGAACTGTTTTGAACTCCGGCACACAAGGCAACTCCAACAACCATACCGATACTAGACATCAAATACATACCTGCAGTTGCCATACCCATTTCCCTCTTCTGAACAGAAACGGTGAGGGCAATAAATGCGCAAGCAGCCGTTATTCCGAGACCAAAACCACCTGGAAATATAGAGAGAGACGCTGCGAGAGAAAGGTGATTGCTATGCCATGTCGTGGGAAGCATAGTGTAAGAGAAAACAGATGAGATAGTAGAGAAGGTCAGGAGGTATTTGTAATGACCAGTGCTGATGGTTCTTAGTATGCTAAATATATGAAATGGTAACAGTGATTGAATGGGCAAAGAACGAACCGAGTAATTAGCCAGCCTGCGAGGAGACCTCCTGTGGTATTACCAAACACAGCCGGAAAGAGATGAAGCCCAGCAGTAGTATTAGAGCTGCCTTGCGTTACACGAAAATAGAGTGGAACTGAATACATCATCTATGCGAGGTTAGAATAAGTGCATCGCAAATAGAGGGCATAGAATGACTTACGCCGACTTGTGCACTGAGCTGCAACGCATTAATAGCATAAGATGTTGCTACATCACGTTGGACAGCAAGTGCTGGCGGAAATATAGGCTCCGCAGCGACTTTGACCTCATACCCCACAAATATGGCACCAAGCACGACAGATCCCAACAACAACCCAAGAACTGTAGGATGCGACCAAGGCAGTGCTTGTCCTCCAAGACTGAGAGAGCCGAGAAAAGCGGCGATGGTTCCAGTCAGCAAAAATGCTCCAACAAAATCAATTCGTCGAAGTTTTGAAGGCCCATCTTTGGCTTGGATGGGCTCATCAGATGATGATCGTGTTGGAAGTTTTTATGCTACTAGAGCAATAGCGAAAAGCATCAGAGGTCCTTGTCCGATAAACGACCTGCCACAGATTGTTAGAGGAAAGATACAATCAGGTTTTCGAACTGGAATGGAAAATTTACCAACGCCACCCTATTGTATCTGCTAGCAGCCCGCCTGAGGGTCCACCGATACTCCTTCCAATCGTCCCAACGACATTGACATAACTTCTCCACGCAGCAACATGAATGAGAGGTACAAGATCTGGGTGGGTTAGTACAGGGTTGGGAAGGCTCAAATATGACTTTCATCACTCACCCACTATCAGAACAGAGACCATGACACTCATACCCGCACCTCCAATACCAGCTACTACTCTACCCATCACAGTCTGCCACATTGTTTGTGAGAGCCCCCTTTCAAAACATCAGTACAATACCTTCAAACTCTGAAAGTCACTTACGTCAAAACACATCCGATCACGAAGAAACCATACGATATCAAGAGAACTGGCTTCCTTCCGTATATATCACTAATCTTGCCTGTAAGAGGTTGGACAGCACACATCGCTAAAGAATAGCTAGTAGTCAACCAACTGGCATCACCCAGTGCCCGAAATTCGGAAGCAATGGTACCATATGTTGCAAGAACAAGCGTGCCATCTGCATATGATATAAAAACACCTGGAAAATAAGCATGAAGAAAGTCAATGAAGGAGTTGTGAATATATACCAATAAGCAGAAGACTTATTATAATAGCAGCGCTCTTCGTGACTTTTCCCGTGGTTTCGTCTTGGACTTGGTCATTTTGTGCAGATTCTACGTCTGGAAAAGTTGCAGTCGACTTGTAATTTGGAGTTGAAGCAGCGGTTACTGGTGAAAGTAATGAATCTGTTTCCGAGTACGATTTTATCGAACCCGCATCTTTGGATGAAGCTTGACTCGAATCATCTCTAGGAACAGTATCTCTCTCATGCAATGCCATATTTCAGTATCCGATACCACCACCAACAACACTTCTTTTTCTTATGATTCAATCTATAGCGGAAGTCAAAGTTTAATAAATGCTTTTCAAACTGCCCAGACCGACTTATCTCAATATTCAGAATCTCTTCGTCGATAAAACGTTTTTAATTAGAATTCTAAATAATATCTTAATTCTTTTTATAATGGTGTTATAGCTTATTAATAATCGAATTTTTTTCGGTTAATTAGGGATTAGGGGGAATGTTTATTTTCTTGAAAATCTGAGAGTATTTGATTATGTTTTTAATGAAAATCTGGAAATCTTTGGTAAGAGAATTTCAAAGATATATTTGTACTCTTTAAATCTAATTTATTTAAAAAGTAAATATATAATTCGAAAGCTCTAATTTTCTAATATTTTATAAAACTATATAGTAATAATATATTAATTAATTGAATTTAAATATTATTAATAATATTTGGATTATTATTATTAAAATATAGTAGAAAAAATTATAATAAATTTTGAAATAGATATCTTCTATCAATTTCTATTAACTCCTATTAATTCCTGTTTTTTTCTATTTCCTTCTAATAATTTCTATTAACTTTTTTTAATTTTTTTTAATTCTTATTAACTTCTATTATCTTTTATTAACTTATAAGTATTTATATTTCTTTTTACAATAATTAAAATAATTAATATTTTGATGATTGATACTTTAACAAATCTATTTAATACATTATCACTATTTAGTCTATTATTACTATAGCTATTTAATCCATTATTTAGATTTTCAACTATTATTTCTGAATTCGAAACTTTTAATACTTCTATTGATAGAGTATCTCAATTCAAATTTCAATATATTTTAAATATAATAAATTAGAAGGGAATATTATTTAATAAATTTATAATAAATTAGACTTTTAATAATATATATAATGGGATTAATAATACTTCTGAAATATAACAATTGAAGTTCAAAAAGACTTTAAATCATACATCTATCAAAAATATAATATACAAAAATATTTTTGTGAAATATCTTAAAAATATATTAAAATAAGAATTCACTACTTTTCTTATCAAATCAAAACTTCAAACTTTTAATATAAATATTCCTTCAAATAAATTTTGTAATATCGATTTCTTTAGTATTAATTAGTTAATAGAGAAGAAAGCTTTAGTTTAGTTTTTTATTCTTACAATTTTTATTACTAATAAATACTTTTATTATCCTAGTTACCCAAATAAATCAAATATAGAAAATTAAGATTAATAAATCTATATAATTATTAATATAATAATATATATTCGATTCAAATATCAATCAAATTATTTATATAATATACTTAATTTCTATCTAATAGATTGCAAAATCAAGTATTATTATATTCAAGTACTTTCTAATCTTGGAATTTGCAATAATTATAGTTATTATAATAATCAAATAAAATATATAATTTCTATAGTTAAAAAGGAAATTAAAGTATAGGGAAATCATCTATAAATAATGGTTATTTATAATAATTTTAATTTTAAGAAAATTAAAAAAAATAAAAGTCTTGGTTATACTAAAGATATAAAGAATTTGATTATAATTATATTCATTCTTTATCCAAAACTTCTATTTTTAGAACTCAAATAAGTTATACATAATTCTATAATTCCTATAAACTTCCAAGATATCCTTAATTCTACTAATCTTATAGCAAATTCATTCTTTTATTAAATAAGCATTTATTTTATATATAATATATTTAAATATGTATTAGAAGATATTATTCAATTAATATTTCAGAAAACTAATTTATATCTTAAAATATTTTATATAAAATATATTTCTATTAATGAAATAAAGTATTAATAGTTTAATAATATTTATATAAACAAGGGAATTATAGATAGGATTTATAAGATTTATAATAATATCTTTAAAACACAATTAGCCTCTTTAAAGCTTAGCAAATCCATACCATTTGATTATATTATTAATCTCAAGTTAATATATAATAATCAATTTATAGTAATCTATATATAGGCTATTAAAGTCTAGTAATCCAAATCTATTAATTCTTATGAACATAGAGAATAAATACTTGAATTAATTTTATAATTTTGAATATCTATAATAATTCAGAATATTATAATTTATATTTATTTCAAACCTTTTTTTAGTAAGACTAATTCTTATTGTATATAAGCCGATCTTTTAAACTTAGGGCAAAAGGAATAAAAAAGAGATTTATTTAAATATTATTAAATACATTCTTTATTATCTTAAATATTTAATATAAGAATTATATTATTATTTTATTATATATTATAGGAATATTTTGAAATAATTAATAATATATATTAAATAGAAGAGATAATTGAATTTATTAAAAAAACTATTTAATATATAATGCTAATTGAGTTTTTTAAGATAATGGAAATAGTTCAATAAAAAGCTTTCATTTAAAAAGATTAGGATAAAGATAAAGAAATTAATTCAAATTTTATTATTATATATTATTTACTTTAGAAAATAGAGATATATATGATAATTAATAAAACTGTTAAATATAGTAATATTAATATTATATATCAGATAGTAGATCTACTTATACTCTTATTCTAAGGAGTTAATTAAATTAAATATAAAAGAGAAATACTTTATTATAAATGATTATTTATACCAGAAGTATACTCTCCCAAATTATAATATAGAATACTTGCTTTATTTTTTATTAATTGATTAAAAAAGCTGTGAATATATAAAGCTATTGATCTTATATAGGAGTATATAAATCTTAATTACTAAATTGATATACAATATTATAAAAACTTAATTCATAATATAAATAAAATATTTAATTATATTTATTTAATAAACATTTTTCAATATATTCTTAAAAAAAAAATTAAAAATATATTTAGAAAAATTATATCTAAAGTATATATAATCTATAGTATTGTAAAGAATATCCTTTCTTTAATTATAAGATTAATTTAAAATAATAAAACTAATCCCAAACTTATAGATTCTGGAAAAAGGATTTATTTATTCAAAAATATTTAGAAAAATAAAGAAAATATATTGAAAATAAAGATAAGATTATTTAATAAACAATATATAATCAAAAAAAAGAGATTTTAGAATATTTCTATTAAAAATATAGAAAAATTAGTTTAAACTTTATATACACCATTAGAACTTTTAGATACTATAGTAAACCCTATTTAGATATTTGAATATATAGTTAATAATAATATATATAAAGCTTTAGAATAATTTAATATAAATTCATTATTATTGATTTGGTTTGGTATTTAATTAATTCGATTTTTGATAACCTATTAACTCCTACCATCTTCTATCTCCTTCTATTAGCTTATATTAACTCTTATTAATTTCTATTAGTTTTTATTAACTTTTATTAACTTTTATTAAATCTTTTGAAAAATAAATATTAAATTATAAAATATATAGTATAAAAATATATTATTTGATTAATCTTATTCTATAATTATATTTTCATTGAAATATTTTTCTGTATTAAATAATTAATAAAAATCGTTATAATAATTTATATAATTATAATAAATATAAATTAAATGTAAATAAAGATTATTACAATTAAATATCAATATTTTTATCTTAATATCCAAAAAAGGAAAAAACTATTAATATTATTTTACAAAATCAATTAATTCTATAAGCTATATCTAACTATAATAATCGATTTTATATATATAGAAAAAGCAATTATATTCTTTTTGTACTATATATAAATAAATAAACTATATTCCCCTTTATAAGTGATTTAATAATAATAAGCATAAATTAAATCAGAACAAATTATTTATTATAGATTTTAATTAGAATAAACCTAATATTCGAATTTATGATCATAATAGAAAATATATCTCTTCTTTTCTAATAATTACTTCCTAATTTCTAATTCTATAATTCAAGTAATATAACTAAAATCTCTTTGTTTATCCAAAATGACTTTATTTTAATTATTATTACTTATATATTATTATTTATATTATTATATTAATAAATATAGTCCTTTGAATTTAATATTATTCTAAGATTATAAATAATATACTATATAATCTTTCTATATTTCCTCAAAAGTCTTTTTAGAAATATACTTCATTTTGGCTCCTTTTGATAAATATATAACAATAGTATTATTATTAATATTAATAATATTTAATATATATTAAATAATAATATTATTTGTGGTATTAATATTACAAATATATAAATTATTATTTTCTTTATTTTTAATATTAAATTCTTTACTGTCTCCATTTTTATATCCAAATCTATTATTAAAATATTTAGAGGATATATTTGATAATATAGGAATAGTTATATAGAAGATAATTAATATATAGAATAATAAGTTATTGATAAAAGATAGTATAATAAAATCTTATTAATTCAAAATAATTAATAAAGCTTTGCTAAAACTAGATAATTATATAGAAAATAGATTTCTAATTATAATTGTAATATTATTGATTATTCAAGGAATGTATGGACTACAATATCTCTATATCAATATTTAATAAATAAATAAATATAAAAAGAAAAAAAGGGATAATATATAAATATAAAGAACGGATAAATTTATTATACATTTAATCTCTTATTAATTGAGTAGTAATAACTATAATAGTTTTTTTATTATATTCAATATTTTGCATATAAACTAGATTCCAAATATATAATATTCTATATAATATATAAAATAAATTAGTATTTATTTAATAAAAGTTGATAGTTTTATATAGATTAAGATAGGATAATAATATGAGATTGATTTATTTTGATTGCTTTTTCCATTTATTTATTGCTAAAAAAACGCCAAGTTATTATTTGCTTATAATTTGATAGAAGTTGATAGAAATTAATAAAAGCTTAATAAACTATATCAAAAATAATTATAATTCAATTTATATCTCTAATATTATCTTATTATTATTACTATTGTTATTGTAATATTATATTTTTAATATTATTTTATTATCTAGCTATATTTTTAATATTATTTTATTAAATTGAGATTCTTTTACCTAATAAATTGGAAATCTATATTTTTATTGAAATCAAGTTAGAAAATTATTTATATTTTAATTAATATTTTTAGAAAAATTAAATAAATTAAATAAAAAAAGAGTAAAAAAAGTAAATTCAAATTTATTAAATAGGGAAGATATAAAAACCAAAAAGCCGAATCTACTAATAGATGAGAATAGGTCTAATACAGTAATTTGATCTTTAAATATAAGTAATAATAATATTAATATTTGTTTTTATTTTGATATACTTTTTATAAACATTATGCTTTATATGAGTATTATATTTTAAATAAATATTGAAAATATTATTACTTCAAATTGAATAATTAGTGTCTTAAATTGATTATTCTCAGTATAAGGAGTATTAATATTTATATTTAATATTAAAAAACTATCTAATTAAATTATTTAAACTTAAGATTAAGTATTAGATCTATTTCTCCTTCTAAATTAGCTTTATTGGAATATCTAGTGTACAAAAGTATTATTTGAAGCTATACAGGTTGCATTTAATTACTCTTATACTAAAGCTAATATTATTATTCCTAGTATTTTTTTTAAAGTATTCTTTTATTATTTAACTTTTTCTCTTGCCTTCTTTATTTTAATTAGTATTTGCCTATATACTATATACAAATATTCAATTTCAGAATAAAAACCTTAAAATAAAAATATTAATTTATCTTTATATTTATCAAAATATCATTATATTTTAAGATTAAGGACTTTTTTATATAATTAATTTAAAATCAATTTATTTTATTAATTAAATAATTTAATATATAGCTATTAATAATATAAATTCATTATTTTTTAATATATAGTTTTCTTTATAAAGTAATTATTTGATAATATAAATTGTTATTAACTAGTTATTACTTTTGGTACTTCAATTTTATACCATTTTTCTAATATTTTTAATACAAATATATTCAAAGTACCCTTTTAGAATTTGGATATTGATATAACTTTATTCAATGGTTTAAATAAAATAAATAAAAAATCCGGATTATATTTATTGTAATATCTTTTTAACAAAACAATTTCTCTTTTCTTTTCTATTAATAAAAGATTTTCTTTAAGATAATTGAGAAATACTTTTTTATAATATAAGTTATTATAAATAATTAATTAAATAAGAAAAACATTAGCTCTTTGAATTATTTCAATTTTCATTTAAATATACTTGCTTTTTAAAATGGAATTTATTATATTATTATTAACAATATTATTTTTGATATTAATTTTTATATTAATCTTTTTTTTATTTATTAAATCCTTATTTTCTATTTAATTTTCTAAAACTTATAAAACTTAAAACCATCTTATCTTTTAATAAGATAGTAAAAAATACCTTTTTATTATTTTTTATATTAAAATAAAAATTTTATTTATATTAATATTAAATCCTTTTGATATTATAGAATAGAATCCATTAAAATTAAAATAATAATATAGAATAAATATATATATTATATTAATATATTCTAATTCTTTTTCTTCTTGATTTATTCTTTATTATATCTCTATAATTAATTACTTTCTTATATTTTAAAAAATAATCAGATTTATATTATAAATATTAATATTTATAGTAAGAATAATAATAGTAATAGTAATATAGATAATTAATGTTATTTTCACAAATTTGTTATATCTTATTACTCGATTTTTTATATTAATCTTTGAATAAAATAAAATAATAATATTTATAATATTGAAACTTTTATTCTTTATTTCAATAGAATATAATATAATTTTATCTTTTATTTTCTTCAAAAAAATATTTCAAAAATAGTTTTTTATTATATTGATTTTATTTCTAAAATTTATAAATATTATAATTTTAGGAATCTTTTCTAAAATTGAATTCTTATTTTTATTTATAATATTATTTAAAAGGTAATATAAAGATTTTAAAAATTTAATCTATTTATAAGGGATAAGAACTATTACTAGCAAAATATTTGGATAATTAATAAATATACAAATAATATATATTTAATATAATTAAAAGTTTGATCTTTGAAATCCTTTATTATCTAAAATTATCTTTTAGCTTTTTATATCCAAAGTGGTAGTATATTCAAATTATATAACTTTTTGAGGTAGAAAATACTATAATTGCTTTAATATGGTAAACTTGGGTCGAAAATCCTTTTATTATAAGATAAAATAATATTTGTTTATAGTTATAAGCCTAATATTAAACTACAATTTAGGAGATATAAATATATTCCTAAATTTAAATAAAGTTGTTTATTTAGGGTCTAAAAGGATATGTGTATATTTTAATTGGCAAATTTAATTAATTATTTCAATTTTCTCTTTTAATAATTCAAAATTCAAAAAATAAGATAATATTCCAGAAAGTTTTTTAATATTCTTGAATTACTTTTTTTTAAGTTTTATTAATAGAATTATCTAAAAAGTAATTTTTCTTATCAAAATAGAGTATAAATAAAGTATTAAACTCTTTTCAAATCTAATCTTAATAATATAAAAGATATTATTCTTTTTATAAATTAAATAATACAGAATCCGAATTTGTATAGATTTGGGTTTTCAAATGGTAATAGAATTTAAAAATCAAAGGATTCTTTTAAGGTATAATTCAATAAGCTTTTTTTATTTTTTAATATATTTCTTTATTCCTTCTTTTTTAATTATTGTAGGTATATTTTTCAATTCAATTTTATAAATTCATTTTATATATTTATTTAATTTAATTATTAATATTATTAGTATATTGAATATAGTTAATGTAATCTCACAGTTATTCTTTAACTTTTTAATTTTAGTTTATTTAGAATATCTATTATCTTTCCTTTATTTTAAAGATATAATAGTAGGAGTTTCCAAGATATAGTAAAAGGTTTTAAAAGGTAATAGAAATCCATAGAAAATGATAGAAGTTTATAAAAGATCTTATAAATTAATAAATATTTATAAAATATAATATAATTCAATAATAAGTTAAGTAAAAGCTAACAGAAAGTGGTAGAAGTTTTCAGAAATTAATAGAAATAAATACAATAAAATTTTTTTTTTATAAATCAATAATTGAATATACACTTCACTTTCACTTCAGTTTTATTTCAATTTACTTATAATTTATATAATAAACTCTATCTATATTCAAAAGCGATTTCAATATATTATATAAAAACAAAGAATTATTATACTATTATTATTATTAAAAAATAATACCCAACCATTTACTTCTCAATAAAGATAATATTAATGGAAATATAAATAATATGATAGGATTACTAGAATTAAGGGAACCCTTAAAATATATATAATTATATAAATTAATAAATAAAAATAATAGATTAGGGAGAAAAAATAATTATCACTACAAAATATTAGTTTTCAAAAATATATATTTTTGATATATATATATAATTGAATAAAGCTATTATAATAAAAAATATATCAAAATAATAAGAAAATCTATCTATATATATTGAAATTACATTAAAGTAATACAATTATTAAATAATTTATAATCTTTAATTGAAAAGTCAAAAAATAACAAATTGTTGATTTTCTTACCAAAGCTGGAACCAAATTGTTTCAAACCCTACGATAATAAACCTTCGGGAGGCCTCTACCTCGAAATCAAGGCCAAAAATTATGTAATCACCGTGTGGTCTGAGGATGAGATAAAGACCGACCAATGTTTTGTTTCTAGGGCATTGACTCAATTCGCTGTCAGCCCAAGCCAAGCCACTGTGCCGCCAGCAACAGGGCCAATATTTCGGCCCCGGTTGAAATGAAAATTTGAAAGCTCATCATTCCGTCTAAAATCCCACCTTATCAAATGTCCGAAGTTTGATCTCCCATATGGCTACGGGAATCAACGAGCAACTTCAAACTCCCAATGAGAGATGTACGAAGTAAATGTACATGAAGCCTTTATCACACGATAGGCTTGAATGAGCGGAAATCCCCTGCGGAATGAACCCTGAAGCCCCGCAATTTGATGATGAAAATAGGCACGGATCTCACGCCATACATTGGAATTGAGGCTGCTTTAGCAATTACACAACGTCATCTCTCAAATTTACAAAGCTTTTTCCTGGTTGTAAGGCAAAAATGATTTTAGATTTTTAAAGCAGCGGGGTATCCTTCCTAATTCACAATCGTATCGCTAGGAATCCCCAACCCAGAAGCATATGCCAGTTACCCGTTGTTGCGGACTCTTGGACGGCATGAGACTTGAGTTCCACTTCCTTCCGATGTGAAGAGTACTATCTACTCCACAGCGAAATGTGGAATGTGGAATGTGGGTGGGTCAATGATAGCCTCGACCGCATCTTATCATGGCTGACTTCATCTCCAAACCTTCAATTGGAGTTGTATCGATTGTTCTTCTCACTTGAATAAAGAGAAGGGATCATAAAGACAATATTTTGGAACAGGACAAATTCAGCATGAAAGCCTCACCACTATTTGTCCTAGGACTTGCTACAGTTTCTGCTGCCGCGCAAGCTCCAATTGGACAAAAGAATGATGGAAGGCCAAACATAGTGCTTGTTTTGACAGATGATCAGGACCTACACATGCAGTCAATTGATTATATGCCTTTACTAAAAAAGCATGTAATTGATCAAGGAACTTCTTTCAAGCGTCATTACTGTACTACTGCAATATGTTGCCCTTCAAGAGTCACGTTATGGACAGGCAAGAATGCTCATAACACAAATGTGACGAATGTAGCACCTCCTTATGGTCAGTGTTTACCTCAGTCCTTTGGGTAGGCACGATAGCTGATGTATCAGAGAGTAGGTGGATATCAGAAATTCGTTGAGCAGGGCTTCAATGATGCATATCTCCCAGTCTGGCTTCAAGATGCTGGATACAGCACTTTTTACACGGGTAAACTTTTCAATCATCACACTGTGAGCAATTGGAATAAACCGCATCCAGCTGGATGGACTTCGTCCGATTTTCTTTTGGACCCGTTTACATATCAATATTATAATTCTACATTTCAAAGGAATGAACATCCGCCTGTGAGCCACGAGGGTGAATACTCAACAGATGTCCTTGCGCAGAAGGCATACGGATTACTTGATGAAGGAGTACAATCCGGAAAGCCATTTTTCTTGGTCGCAGCGCCAATCGCCCCTCACGCGAATGTTGACCCGGCCGCTTTTAAGCCTGGAGAGGGGATCCTGATGACGACCCCTATTCCTGCTGAAAGACACAAGCACTTGTTTCCTAGTGCAAAGGTTCCAAGGAATGCTAATTTCAACCCAGACAAGGTAAGTCATGTGTTTGTTGAAGAGAGCTCAAGTTAACTCTTTCATATAGCCTAGCGGAGCGTCATGGGTAAAACGTCTAGATCAACTTACTGACGAGGTTATCGCATATAACGATGAATTTTACCGAGCTCGTCTTCAAACCCTCCAAGCTGTAGATGAACTCATTGAAGGTCTCGTTGATCGATTGACTGATTATGGCATTCTTGACAATACCTATTTTATCTTCTCTACCGACAATGGCTACCATATCTCTCAGCACCGTCTAGCCCCAGGAAAAGAATGCGGGTTTGAGGAAGACATCAACATTCCTCTGGTCATCCGTGGCCCTGGAGTTCCACAAGGAGAGGAAACAAGTGTTGTAACTGCGCACACAGATCTTGCTCCCACAATCCTCAAGATTGCAAATGGCGATTGGAAAAGAAAAGATTTGGACGGGAGCGTCATTCCTCTCAATTCACAAGGACTTAAAGATGCCGAGAATACCAGACAGGAACACGTGAATGTCGAATTCTGGGGAAAAGCACTTCCTGAAGGTATTCATCGATTTTCTCTCGACGACGGGAAGGTCGTCTACTATGGCCTCAACAACACCTACAAAGCTCTGCGTATAATTAGCGATAGCCATAATCTCTACTACTCAGTTTGGTGTACCAACGAACACGAACTCTACGATTTAACCACCGATCCGCATCAAACAAATAACATCTATCCTTCCTCGTCTATTGCAAGCGCTTCCACACATGGCAAACTTAACCTTCCCAAGCTCATTCCCCGCCTCGATGCTCTTCTCATGGTAACAAAGTCCTGCAAGGGTAACACGTGCGTACAGCCTTGGTCAGTGTTACATCCAGCCGGAAACGTGAGAACACTTGACGACGCTCTATCTCCTCGGTTTGATACATTCTATGCAGAAGACATGGCAGAAAGAGTAGTCAGGTATGATAAATGTGAATTGGGATATATTGTAGATAGTGAGGGACCACAGGAAGTATTTGCTTTCCAAGAGGATGGGGATAAGTGGGAATTGTGAGGTTGCTTTATAAGCATATTTCTATTAGCCTGTGTACATATCATTTTATACATCACTTCGAGACACGAAGGCGTTGAATCGAGAGAATAAAAATGTAAAAGTCAAAATTCAATATATCCTCCTCTTCTCCCGCATTCAAGATTCCCTACTAATTCTAATTTCCAAAATCCTCTCTCCTTCAAATAAAGATGAAGCAATCAATATGGAGTGCATGTAAATGACTTTGATCACAATTGCTTTTTTCGCTTATCTTGAGTTCATTGTAGAGAAGAAATATAAAGCAGATTCCTTCCATGAGACTATCAAGCATGTTATGTTCTTTTTATTACATTATATAGGAACTTCAAATTCTGAGTCGTTGAATAGGTGATATGGTTGATGATGATGGTGGTTTTTTAGTGGGAGTGGCTTTACTAAGTAGTTAACGTAGTTTAACACCGAGTGGGTCATATCACCGAGTGGGCCACTTTCACCTCAATTTATATCTTTTATATTCAATATACATTTTATAATTAGTTTATTATCAGAATTTATAAATAAAAAACATATTTACTTTTAATATTAAAGCTTTTCAAAAAAACAAAAACCTAAGTATTCTAATAGATTTGCTTAATTAGATAATATATGTCTAGAGAATGAAGTAGTTATAAAATAAATAATTTATTTCTATATATAAAAATTGCAAGTAAATTATTATAAAATTATAAATTTAAAAAAAAAAATGATTATTTAATATATTTTTAATATAAATTTAAAAGATTTTTTATTTAAATTTAAAAATATAGAAAATATAGTAAATTATATTTTCAAATTGAAAAATACAAAATATATTAGAAAACTTTAGATATATCAATTTATAAAATATTGAATTGAATTAAAGATATATTTTAATTATATTTATATTTTTAAAAATTTTTTTATAAAGATTTTAAATTTATTAAAGATTAATTTCAATTAATTATAAATATATAAATGAAATATGACATTTTGAATAGAGATTTCTATAATTTCGATAAAATAGACTTTATAATAAAAATTATATATATAGTAATAATTATTATTAATATTAAAAGATATAATAAAAGCAAATCAGTATAATTAAATAATCAAAAATAAATTATAATAATAATATATAGAAATAAAGAGAATAAAATTATTCCCCTATTTCTAATAATTTAAAGATAGATTTATCTCTCCAATTAATATACCAAAACCAATTTTTCTATAAATTAAATTATTAAACCTATATTTAATAAATAAATAAATAATGAAATAGATTTAGAATAATTGAAATATTTTAATAAATATATTAAAAATCGAAAAAAAAAAATATTAAATATTAATATTAAATAAATATAAAAACTATAAATCAATATTATTTCAGAATTATTATAAGAAAAATAATATTAAATATATATATTTATTATTATATTAAATTATTTAATTCAATTATTTAATATAAATTATTTTAATAATCTAAAATATTTATATAATAATCAAATTAATAAATTTATTAAAATATATATTAATTATATTTCAAAAATTAAATTCTTTATAGCTTTTAAAACTATATATAAAAAATCAATTATTTTTCAAAATATGAAATCAGGATTTTAAGAAATAGATTTGATATTATTTATTTCTGAAGCTATACTTTCAAAATTAGATATTCGAATTTGTATACTTATCCTTCTTCTTTCTTCTAATTTAAATCAATAAATCTTTTAAATCTCTTACAACCTAATTAAAGCTTTTTTTTAATTAATATTAATTAAATCTTAAATAAATTGTTATTAATCAAATTCCCCTGTACCTTTATTTAAAATTATACTAATTTTAATTAAGGATATAGAAAGATTAGTTTATAAAAATACACTTTTGAATATAGAAATTCATATATTTCAAAAAGCAAATAAAATATTAAATAAATATTAATATATAAAAAAACTCAATTACATCAAAAAGGAATATTAATTAAACAAAAAACTTTTGATATATTATTTTAGTAAAAGATTAATATTTAGATTTAATATAATAATATCACGGAGGGATAGCTATATCGATTGGTCACTCTAATTATATAATAGGTATGTATAATGATAATAAACTAGATTGATTTGTGATATAATTATAAGAATCATGCCTATCTTATATACCCTAATCGAATAACAAAATTACTTAATTAGGTATTAAGGTTTATATATAAAATAAATAGAAGATTATATAATAATTATAGAAATAAATATTTTATAGAAGTGTTATACTCAATTATATATTATTATATAAAATAATGAATTCTATAATATATTTTCTAAATTGATTAATATTATAATAATTATATTAAGTGATTTATATAATAAATAAAGGAAAATTAGTAAGCAATATATATTATAAATATTAATAAATATTTTCTTAAAATAATTATTATATTTTTTATTTATTTAATAGGTATATTATTCAATAAAGGAGTATAAAGTATATAAAAACATATGAGTTTTTATAAAAATAAAAATAAAATTGTTGTATAAATATGGGTAGTTATGAAATGAGTATTAATCCTTAAGTAAATAATTTAATTTATTGGTTTTTTATATATAGGATTATATATATTATAATATTGATTAAATATTTATAATCTTTGATTCAAATAATGAATATATATGATATTTTATAGTGGTAATAGAGTTATATAGAATTTGATAGATATGAAAAGCTTTTAATTATAAAAATAAATTGATTTTGGGTATAAAAAAGGGATAGTTTTCTATTTCTTAAACTCATAATAATTTATCTTTATACAATCTTTTATTATATCTTTTTTTATTCCAAAAATCCTTTTAAAAAAAATAACTTTTTTTCTAATATATAAATTCTTATTATACTATTAAATACTTTTATACTTTTTAATTAATATATATAAATAATACTATTAAATTCTTTTGCAATTTTGAATCTTCTAGAATTGTTATTAATAAATTATTTCAAATATTGTTTAAAGATAATATATATTATAATATATTCTGTTTTTAATATAATCCGAATAAATTATATTCTTCTACTCAAATTCGATTATTTTATTCTGAGAAACAAGTTTTTAAATAAAAATTATCTTTTAATGTATATAAGAATAATAATAATTTATTAAGAAAAATTGAGTGTATTAAGTATACTAAATCTTATTGATTTAATAATAAAAAAGATTATATAATAATTATTTCTGCGAATTATAATAATCAATTTATTAATAATAACCTTCCCGATTTTCTATATAATAATTAAAATAATTCTTTATTAGTTTTATCTTTTTTTTTTTTTGATTATTTTATATCTATTCTCAAATTGATTATTAAATAAATATTTAATTATAATATATAATATAAGTGTGTATATAGAGTTGTTAGATATGATTTAAAGAATAAGAATATTTAGAATATAATATTATATATAGAATATATTTGTTCTCTTTTATTCGATTATTATAAGAATTCTAATAAATATTTCAAATAAAAATAAGCCTTTTCTTTATAATATTAAAAATATATTATATATCTATATATATTTCTTTCAATCTTTTTGAAATCTTTAATTATTTAGTTAATAAAGCTTTAGGATTCTGATTTTGTTATATAATCTAGGCAAATAAATATCTTATATTAATAAGCTTTTTATTTTATTATAATTTATTAATATTATATTTAAAAGCTTATTTCAAATAAGAAATTTATTTATATTATAATATTAGTTATATTAGCAATAGAGAAAAAGAATAGCGAGTTTTTTGATTTTGATTTTTTTCTATTATTAATATAGAGTATTTTTCCTTTTTCTTTTGATATTTGATTATTATAATCATTTATATATTCTTTTTTGGTAAAAAAATTATTATTTTTTTTTTCAATTAAGAAATAAAAATCTTTTTCTATTCCTTAATTTCCTATAATTAAGTATATAAAAATTAATATAAGAATTTTTATTATAAACTTTAAGATTAGATTTTAATCTACTTATATTATTTTAAAGAATAAAAAGAAAAGGGTTATATTTGATATAAATAATAATAATAATCTTAATAATAAATATAATATTATTAATAAAAAAGATATAATTAATTCTAATGATAAATTTGATAAAAAAAAACAGGAGTTTAAATTGTTTTAATTTAAGATTGAAATTGCTATAAAGAGAAAGGATTTTGAAGAGAAATATATTAAATAATCTTATTGATTCTAATACTTATATTTTATAGATTAAATAGGGATATAAAATGATTAAATTTTTAATATAATAAATTCTTTATTAATCCATCTACTATTATTTCTATTATAAATAAATATATAAAATAAAAACTATTTCTTAAATATTTCTAATATAACTATATATTTTATATATTAATATATTTCAGTTTAATAATAATTCTCTTATTTTTATTTATTATTAATTTAATTGTTTATTGGTTATTATAGAAGATTGTAATTAATTATTTAATTATAAAATTGATTTTTTTAAGAAATCAAAATATTACTAATATTTCTTTTGATATATACTTGATATCTAATAATTTAATTTCAATTATAGATATAGTAATTATATTTTATTTTGAAGCTTTTTATATTATAAATTCTTTAAATAAAAAGATTACAAACTCTTGAAATAATTTTCTTGATTTCTTATTATTAGCAAATAAGATATTTAAAAACAATAAAAGTTATAAGATATATTCTCTATAATATCCAATTATATAATATCTTATATTCCAAAGATACTCTATATAATAATCAATTGCTTTTATATAATCTAGAAATAAATTAATTAAAAAGTAATTAAATTGTAATACTATAAATATTATATCTACTTTAACTATAATAGCTATATATAATACTAATCCTACCTTTTTTTGATATATTTATATAAATATAATAATTACTTATCTATTGAATTTTACAAATTCCATAATTGATAATAGAGTGTATATATTATTATTATTGAAATTGAATTTCTTA